AATATTAAAAAGACAAAAAAATTAGGCGGTGCCTCTCTAAATTTCATTCCAATTTCGAAATCTGATGACCACGAACCAGTTATTCCCTTTCACACCTTTCTGTTAAACCGTTATTACGTTATCATCAAAGACTACAATAAGCACGCACTTTTTGTAATGCACCATACCTTTCCCATTTTAAGAATACTTTTACCTTTTTTATATTTTTTTATTCAGTTACATAGAAATGTTACGTCTTCTGCTCGGTAATGGTGTGAAAGTTACAAAGTTTAATAAATTTGGTTATTTGATTTAGAAAAGAGAGCTGTTTATGTTCGAATATACATCGTTTATTAATTTGGAAAAATAATATAAAACTCTTTTTAAATGTTAATGGTCTGATAATATTTGTGTACGTTATCATATTTGCATAGATATTACACTCCAAGATATTCATTTCCATGCAAACGATTAGAGAAGGCGTCTAACAATTTTGGGCTTGCGGTATTTCTCCCTACGATTATACTCGTAGCTACTTAAAGGCAGGGTAATAATTTACTATGTTTTTTGAGGTCGAACGATTTGTGGTCTCAGATAGGCAGCAATCTAACTTCGATTTATGGATAAATTATATTAAAGTTGAATTTTATTGAGATTTTTGGTTTTCTTTCAATAACATCAACACAAATTAAAAAATGTATACTTCAACATTAGAATATTTATCTACTATTTTACATAATTTTTAGTTTTAGAACCCGTAGTCGAAATTAGATTTATGGCAGAATCAAATTGACTGGCAGTGTGAAAATTTTCACTATTGTCTAAGGAAGTGCTTATTATACTTATAACAGTTATTACGAGTTATTAACAAAAAAAACACTACTTATCAGATAATTTGCAAGTCTCTTAACTTTGGCGTCAATATTGGTGTCTAGCGTCTTATGTATTGCTGGCAAGAATATTTATGGTATATCTTGACAGTTTTCTCCAGAGTACAGGACCACGCGGGCGAAGCCTATATTAAAATATTTGAATATTCAGGAATAATTTTTATCAGTGCACTAATTTTAATCCCCTGTGTTATAATCCCCGCAAATTGCGAATGCTTCTGGCGGACATTTTGGTAATGTAATTAAACAAGTAATATGTTTTTTTAAATATATTTTTAAATCAATTTAAAGTTTGTTTATTTGTCAATTTTATGCTTCCCCGCTTTCGGTATTACTCCACAAAACACATTGATACATATTGTCAAAAATGTCACTTGGATCTTGGATCAATTGACCTTCAAACATTGTTAACATAAATATTTATCAACTCGCATTGCCAAAATGTTCACGAATAGGGTTATGTTTAACACATACGTTGCAATGCAGAAAAACTTGATAAACTTTAAAAATAAATTAAATTAATTAAAACAACATTTAGTTGCCTGATAATAATTAGCTTAAAAACCTTATTCTTCATTTTATTTCATACACAAATGATACAGTAATTGAAATGCTATAGTTGGTATTAGGTTATTTAGTAATGAAAACAATTTATGATGTGGCAATTTATTTAAAAACTTTTCTAATTAGTTGGTAATAAAAAGCAACACTAATGCTCTTATTTACTATTCTAACGACAGCATTTTTTCATATTGGCAATTGAAATCGGCCTACAATAATACAAAAGTCAGAAATCTATATGGCATACTTGTCTGCACAAAGTGTATCTTTATATTTTAGTTGTTAGCTGCCTGCTCTATACATGACTCCGTGGTGCTTTTAAGAAATCAATTGAATTCGATCTGGAAACCCTTGTTAGGATGGTTAATGATGATAATGCGATAAAAGACCAACTAATGTAAGGAACAATCGTAAAGATTACGGTTGATATTGTAGATTTGGAATAAGTATATCTTCGAAGTGTTTTTAGCAGGGATGGAAGATGCGTCGTTGGAATGGAAAGGATAGTTGCTGGGTATAATTACATTAAGCTTCGAGAAAACTTGGTAACAAAACTTTAAGTTAGAAACCGAAACTACACACAATGCGGAGCTGATCCCAATGCTAAAAACCAAAGAGGATATGAGTTCTTTTAAGCTTTCGTGGTCATTTACATAAAAATGATAATAATTCGCGGATTTGCTACTACTCGTATATACCTTGTATTCTAACTAAAGCGAATAGTTGGATAAGAGATGTAAGTAGATTAAATGTCAGTTCAGATATGATCGTTACATAGAATTGCGGAGTGGCCTCTCAAACTGCACTTTTCAATGTAAAGATAAAATGAAATGAAGAGATATATTACAAAGGTGTGAAGAGAGATTTGATAAAGATATGAAGAGAGTTTACAATGACATAATGGCGATCTAAAAATTAACAGAGAAACGCTCCGTTGATTTGTATATGCAGAAATAATGTCGGGTTAACAAATGATAAAACTGATATACAATTAGTACGTAGAAGCCGAAGAAAGCCTAGACAAACCCTTCAAGATTAAATCGATCGCATGCTAGTAGAAAATTATGTCAGAAATAACATATAAAAACCGGCGAGCATGTAAATAACGTCGTAATGTAAGTAATGAATGTCGAAGATGCGATAGACATATGTAAGGATGGTGCTTTGTATCGGTCGATTCTCTCTACCTATTCCCCAAAATGCTTTAGCAAAGGATCAAAGTAAAAACATAGATATCAAGACTTTTTTCTCTATGGTATAAGCTGCATTTTATAATTTATTGTAATTTATATTATCTGAACTTTTGAACTTCAACCTTCGTGTCATTTAATTTTGTAGATAAATGACAAGGTCAAATATATTTAAAACTCAAAATCGAATCGATAAAAAAAACAGAAGGTTATTGCCTCTGTTAAGGTTGTAAAAGACAACGTATTTTATTGATCAAATTAATCTTACCGCTTTAGTTGAGGTTACGCTACTGTTGAGCAATAAAGTGAACCTGTTTATTAGACTCTTTCTTTCATTCAAGAATGTTACAACTCTGAGTTACGTTCACATTTAACACGTAGGTGTCATCTGTCTAGTACTAACGTCGATGTAGGTAAATTAATGTAGGTTAATGTCATTTTGTTTCCGAATAGACGAAAATAATATCTATGGCGAGTTCGAATTATAGATGTTTTTTTTTTTTTTATTTGGCTCCACCCGAATTATAGATGTTTGAATTTAGAAAATCACATCATTGTAATCAGACTTTTTTGTAATAGTGTTTTTTTCATTATAAGAAGTTTTTTATTTTTTTAAATTCAGTAATAATAACAAAAGAAGGATAAGTATGTTAAAACTAAAATATAACAAGTACAATGTCAATCAACATTAAATAATTATATATTTAAATTATTGAATGCCCATGAAGCTATCGGTACTACTAAATATATATTTTTAAGGACATACGTCCTTTGCGCTTTCTCAAGAGTTATTATTTATATTAGACAAGAGTTAAGCAATGCTTTATTATGATCGTTTCAATCTCTAATATTACTAAAGTAAAATTGATTACGGAAACAAAATAAAAAATCTTCTCAATGGGATTGGCATGAAGTGGGCATGTGTAGATAAAAAATATGAGCAAAAAGCATTTACGGATTTAAACGGAGCGAAAGTAATGGCCTGAGGCTTTAGGTACTAGAAAATTTTAAGTGTATTAAAAATACCGTTGATTAAGTGAGAGAGACAGCGACACGTGTATAGTACGTACCATAATGCTTTGGTCTCAACGATTGCCTCAAATAGGAAGATCAAATCATCAATATGAAATAGATTGTGAATAAAATAAAAATAGTTATTAAAAGTTTGATAATAATATTTAATAATGAGTGAATATACTGGATAACGCGATAATTTTTCAATTCACCTATAAAGATACCTACACTTCTTGTGCAGACGAGTATACCATAGATTTCTGACTTTTGTATTATTGTAGGCCGATTTCAATTGCAAATGTCGCCGTATCCGAGGTCCCTGGTTCGATTCCCGGTTGTTTTAATATAAACAATTAAATTTTCTATATCGTATTCGGTTTAGATGTTGTGGTACCGTCGTTGATTCAGATACTCCACAATCTGAGCAATGTATTATCTAATATTTACTATTTTTTATTGTTATTAATCAATGATTATCTATATATGATAGGGCATGTTTATTTATTATTGAATGAAATTCTAGTTGTCATAATTTTCTGTATTTAATTGACTTCAGACTAAAATATTCTTACTAATAAATCTAAAATAAATAACGTAATTAATTACCCATTGACCAATTTTTTATCGATAATACATAAATAATTTTGAATTACAAACCGTGAGGATTATGTTGTCACCAATCTCATCAAGGAATATTTTCTCAAATATCTTTCGTATTGCTTGTTTATTTGTTTCAATTGTTATTATTTATTGGTCTAAGTAAATGTCGTTGAGCTGGTTTGTTTTCTTGCACCCGTGCTTTTTATCAGTGCTCCTTATCATCCAAAAAAGTAATTAACGAAGGACATACTTTCAATAAACTCATTTAAATAAATATTTTTTGACTTAAATAATATTTTGAACATAAAGTTTCCTTCAAACTTTCCTAATCTTCATGCTGGCAAAACTTTATTTAAAAAAGAAGTAAAATATCGAGTGTATACTGTTGTTAAAGTTAGGTTAAAAAGTGTGACGCAGACATTCACTGAGAAAGGATTATTGGAAATTCCTTTTATGAGACGTGAAATAAAAATAAAATTACATTTTATCTACCGCTGCCTGTATTCCAATTGACAATGAAAAACTTAAATTGAGATTTAAAATACGCATGAAAGAAGCATTAGCAAGAAGCTTTTTTTTGGACTACGATTATTGTTGTATTAAAAGGGATTTTATTATAGTTTTGCATAAATATACATTTTTTAAATAAATAACATGATACTTTTTGGACTAATCATAAAAAAAAATTGAAAACACCTACCTGTGTATTCGTGAGGCATTCACTTGCAGAAAGTTAGGGAATAAAAAAATTGAATAATATATGTCCTCGTTTGTTTCAGTTATCAGCCATGACGTCAGAAACTTCAGTGAGGGAGTTTTACAGAGGTAGGAGCGTCTTGGTGACCGGAGGGACTGGTTTTATGGGGAAAGTGCTAATTGAGAAATTACTTTACTCTATTCCCGATATCGGCAACATTTATATACTCCTGCGTCCTAAACGGGGCAAGTCTGTTACGCAGCGTTTAGAAGACATGCAGCGCTTACCAGTAAATAATACTGTTTATTTTTATTTCGACATCGAATAGGATATTAATTACTTACTCAATAATACAGGCCACTTGTCATTGGAATACTATTTGTGTGTCAAAATTTAAGATATTGTATAAGTAGATTTACTGGTTTTATGCATAATGTGTTATTTTGCTATGCTATTTTAATAACCAAATATTATTATGATCATCTTTAAATTAGTGCTTCGGAAGTCACGTTAAATTATTGATTCCAATTGCACCACACAAACTGAGCACGCTTGAAGGATTATGATACGCTCTTCTAATGTAAGCACGCTCTCCTATTCTATCCTACAAAATACCGTACCACAACAGATGATCATGGTAACATTTTACTTGTTAATATTTACTTGGCACCAGACAAGGTAAGATGAGTCTGCCGAAAAAACAGTTTCTATTTACATAAATTTATCAATAACCTTGTACTTTTGCAGTTATTCGATCGTCTCAAGACCGAACGACCTAGCGCGTTCAAAAAATTGAAAGCTCTACAGGGTGACGTTTTATTTCATAACTTCGGCCTCTCTAAAAACGATATAGAAAACCTGTCCAGTGAAGTCTCCGTTGTATTCCATTTTGCTGCTACACTTAAACTAGAAGCACCTCTAAAAGATAACGTGGATATGAACACTAGCGGTACCCAAAGAACCCTTAATATTGCGAAGCAACTGAAGAATCTAACCATCTTCGTACATTTATCAACTGCTTTCTGTTACCCTGACTACGAAGTATTAAATGAAAAGGTAAATAGAAAACTCATAATAATTACCTAGTAAATATATGCAAGTCACCTTACATACTTATATTATTAGCATATTAGCAGATCGTTTCAATTTGATCTCCATATAATTGTGATTTATTTCTTATTTAATGCTACAAATGAACTTGAAGTTCATGATACACTGATAATATAATATTCGCAATGAATAGTAAAGGAAAACGATACTAAGACCTCTTGATAAGAAAATATTTTCGTAATACCTTATATTTGATGACAGTAACAGTTTTTGCTTACGGAATTCATTATTGTCAAGGTACTAAAAAAACTATAAGAAACTATCGTCGATGAAGAAAGTGATGGCCTTATTTTGTTTTATTTGCGTTTTACTGTTACACCAAGGGATCTTTGCGTAACCATTTGACTTTAGTTGCTTATTTCATTTATTTTAGAAAACAGAGAGATTTTTTTTTAATGTACGAAACAGTTTAAATAGTAAACACAAAAATTAGTTTAGCAAACATATTTAACACGATTTTATATTCGCTCAGTTTATATTTACTTTGTAAATCTCACTTCACCTTCTTCTAAATTTTAAACAGTACTAAGTGCTTATGCGAATATGTGGTATATTTTTTTGGTTGTACGTCATTCAACTAGATTGTTACGAACTTTTTTCTATTAAAGTACTAAACTGACTACAGAGTTAAACATCGATTGTTTACAATCTGCCTGCTATCTATCATCAAAATAATTATGATCCAGATTGCAACTGTGTATTTCACAATCGAAGTTTTAAAGAAATCACAGGTAAGTAACCAATTACAGGATAGAAATTGTCTGAATGAGGACTATCTTACGAGTAATTGGTTCCGTACTCATAAAATCGGACATCAAATGTACGGGTATCTTGAACTGCATCCTATTTTAGTGAAATATATTACGGCAGGGTAATTTCTTTACCGTGTACACAAACTTAAGATTAGCTTGTTACACTTAACATTACTATAATACTTATAGCATATATAAGTCTGATAATTTATCATTTAGGTTCACGCCCCCCCAGCTAAGCCCGAAGATGTGATGAGGTTGATCGAATGGCTGGATGATAAGCAGATATCAATATTGACCCCCGCACTTTTGGGTCCACATCCTAACTGCTATACTTACTCTAAGAGGCTCGCTGAAAACGTAGTTGAAAAAGCTTTTGAAGAATTACCTGTTGTTATTTGTCGACCGAGTATAGGTAAGTTGGTGGCTTACAACTGAGAGCCTCCTTTTTATTTCTACAAAATCCTTTGAATATAGTTCTCAATCAGTGATAACGTATTTTTACGAAGTAAGAGCAAGAGCAAGCGATTCTTGCCTAAAAGGGAACGAGGGTTAAGTTTTTTAACTGTACCTATATCTAGTCGTGGAAGGCTAGCACTAAGTTTACCATCACCTCTTATTTTACAACCACGACATATAATGATTTATTAATTTGATTTCAAAGTTTAGCGTTGGTGTAAATTTAATTATAATAAGTCAAAATTCATATCATTAAACAGTGACTTAGCAAAGGTTAACCTATACGAAGTTCTAAGGAAGTGATATTTACTCCAGAAGGTAGTATAATATTATTTAGACAAATGCTAAAATTGTAATTTTAGCGTATATTTAATCTGACGCTAAACCTTGCTTATTCATACACAGCTAGTGATCATATAAAAGATACACACATATTATAATTCTGATTGTAACCTAATCTAAACTGCAGGGCTTTTTTTTTAAATGTGAAGGTGTTGAAATGATCGGAACCTATTAGGTAGCTGATGACTAGGAAGTCACATAATTTTGTTTTGTTATTTAAATTAAGCAAACAATTCATTTACTTGTTTTTTCGACTGTTTATGAATGTTGCTTATTTTTTGTTCGAATATTTTTTTGAGTAAAAGACTTTATACTCACGTATTATTATGATAGGCTTTTTGTAACTAACAGTTTTTACATTAGAGTAACTACAAATCGTCTTTTAATTCATTTAATGTTGTAAAAGGGCATTCATTTAACAAATAGATTAAGATTCCCATAAAACATACCTAATTTGTCTATCCTACTTATTTCCTGAGACAAAAAGTTTTTTATATTTTTAAAACCATTGAGGTAAATTATGATTTTTTTAATTATAACTACATATTGATTTTTTATATTTTCACGCGCACTATCCATTAAATGACACAACTTTTAAACGGTTTCATCGCGTTTTTATTTTCTTTTATTGAGGTTTCGGACCATTTACTTATAGGTTCCGTGTCCACTAATTAACTAGACTAATTGACTAAACAAAACTATAATCTTTAAAAGACTATCAACACTGTAATCATAAAACTTCTTCATACTCCTTAAAAAGACAATCCTGTTAGGTCCTGGGTAGCTCATTGGTTAGAGCAGTCACTCGAATTGCGAAAGGTCATGGGTGCTGTCCCAGCATGAGTCTACAGGTGTATGTTTATGCACTACCTATATGTCTCACGCAGATAGCTAATCTATTTCAAAATTCGCCGAGATTATTATATTAAAAATATTACAAGTATCAAGACATCTTTATTTTCTCCAATGTTGCCTTCTACAAATTAAAATCCCGATTTGCCATCAGATTCTCGTACACCTACATATATCATACTTATAGGGTTGTTACATACTTAATGTTAAGTCGTTACATCATTTAGAAAATATTAACAAAATTCTCTTTTCAGTATGCCCATCTTATTCGGAACCTATACCAGGATGGGTGGACAGCCTGAATGGTCCGGTTGGTTTGATGTTAGGAGCAGGTAAAGGTGTCATCAGAACCATGCTGTGTGACGGAAGCCTGGTAGCACAAGTAATACCTGTCGACATTGCCATCAATGCAGCTATCACTGTTGCCAAGATTGAAGGCAGTAAGAAAGAGAAGTCAGTAGAAATACGATTCAATAATTCATCTGTTTTTATTATGTACTTTCAACGGGCCCTGTCCAATATTCGGAGTACAATTACAGACTATATCGTGTATAGCATCACTTATAGACCCAAAAAGAAATTTATTATTTTATTTTCTTTCTCAGACAATAGCAACAATCCTATTGCACTTGTAAATTTAAGTAAAGTCCTGTAATAATTAACCTATATGGAAAATGGGAGTTTTGAAAACATATTGTTGAAAAGCTAGTTACTTATATTTTAAAGACTACGCATAAAAACCAAAGGGAAACAAAATGAAATCAAAAAACAAATATAGAAACAGATGCCGGCGTATTCTACGCAGTGGAATAAAAGCGTTCAAAAGTGGTTTTATTATATTTGAAAAATGAAAATTTAAATTAAATATTAATTTTCAGACCCGAAGTTATACCAGTGTACAATTTAAATATCGGTCATCAAAAACCAACTACATGGGGTTCGGTTCTCCAAGTAGCAAAAGACTATGGACGGAAGGCACCACTCGAGTGGCCGTTATGGTACCCCAATGGAGATATCACAACGAATAAGGCACTTCACGAGTTTAGAAGATACTTCTACCATCTGATTCCTGCTTACTTGATTGATTTCCTTATGCTATTATTCGGACAGAAACGATTGTAAGTCTTAAGTAATTAAGATAGGAATTTTTTTTTTCAAAAACTGTCACTTGTAGCCAAAGCTCACCCTAAAGTTACTCTCAACAAACCCTTTCATCTGATACCCATATTGTAGAAGTGGATTAAAAATAACTATTCCGCCATCCTGTATGATCCGCCATTTTGGATTTAGAATAACATTACATATTTTTTTTAGTTACTCTCAACGAGTCGTTTATTTGATACCCATATTGTAGAAATGCATTAAAAATAACTATTTCGCCATCTTGGATGATCCGCCATATTAAATATACGCGACGAAATATACGACGCCATATAAAGACGTCACATACTTTAACATGCATTGTCAACCAAACTAAACGTGAATACAATACTTCAGCTCAATCGCTTGAAGATATCTACTTCAAAATTGAGTTCAAAACATACATACATTGCAAGTTAAAGCTATATTTCTTATATGACTGAAAAATATCTTAATTAGATTATAATTAGATATTTTATTGAAATTACAATGAGAGGCTAAAAAAGTGTCTTAGCTTGTAGTAAAGGGGCCATTCATTTATTACGTAAGACGATTTAGGGGGTGGGAGGGAGTCTCGATAGTTCTTACGTAAGATCAGCAAATGGGGCTAATTTGGAATGGGTGGACATCAACGACATCACTATCCTGAATGACCAACTAGAAGCAACACCTTTTATTAGAGATGTTCCAGTGGCAGATACACTTTCCGAGTGGGTTTTGAGTACCTGGACTGAAAATTTTATGAAAGATTTATGAAACTAAAGCTTTTTTTTAAACATTCAATAAATGAAAATTATTAGTACCTTTGTAAGTACAGAAAAAGATTTCTAAAAATTTTTACTTTGAAAAATAAACAATAAAACAACCCAATACCAGTATTATTTTTCCTTTCAAATTCTTACGTAATAAATATTAAACAGGGGAGGCGGCCTTTTCTTATTTTTTCTTATAATAGGGGGGGAGGGGTCAAAAACTAGCGAAAATAGTCTTAGGTAATAAATGAATGGCCCAAAGGGTCAGAAATTCAAAATTGAAGCTGCTAATTCGAATTGTATCACATAAAAAAACTTCGTGTGCATAATTTTCAATAAAAACTTTTAATAGCAGACGATCGAAATCTTACTTAACTCAATCAAAAGTAAAATTAGTAATTTTATGGTATTTGAACTAATATTTCCCAATATAAAAATTTGCAGCATGGTAAGAATTCAAGATAGGATCAGCCAAGGATTGTACGTCCTTCAATATTTCACAACTAGAAACTGGTCGTTCGGCTCTGCGAACTATGATAGCATACAGAATACCTTGAACGACGAAGAAAAAGTGATATTTAACACTAACATTGAGAATGCTGACCGCGACGAGTACATGCGCAACAGCGTTAACGGTGGTCGTGTGTTCTGCTTAAAAGAAGATCCCAAAAATATAGGCAGGAACAAGATTCATCACAACGTGTAAGAACATATTTTGTAATAGCAACTCGCACATGGGGTTACAACAAAATGCCAAGCTTCTAAATAAACTAATAAGATTCAAAGACAATCGGCTGCTCATGTGCTTATCGCCAATGCCGCACTCGTCGTCTGACGTTTGTCTACACCCAAATATCACTTTTCTTCGGCACGCCCATGCAATATGCCACTTTCGACTCGAGAAAAGTGACATTTGGGGTAGACATTAACGCTTCTCGAGTTTGTCATGCTATGCGTGCAGCAGTTTTATTGCACAAAAATCACAGCAAAGGTGAAACTTTATTACTTTTAGAAGTAGGTATCTTCCTTTCAGATTTTGTATGAATTCTTAATACGCAATCTTTTGTTTTTTAGCTAAAATAGGGGCCATGCCATAACATATCATGTTAACATTTAGGTGATATCGATTAGAAAGCGTATTTTGTTATAAAAGGAAAACTGCTTATTCTATTTCGATAAAATTTAAATGGGTCTACCTCCATCCATCAAGCTGTCGAATAAAATAAGAATGTTGAAAATCAGTCAATAATTGACAAAAATATCGGTGAACATACATAAAAAACAGACGTCGCCATCGAACATGTAACCTCCTCCTTTTCGATTTTGAAGTCGGTTAAAATAATTACAAATAAACCTTTGAAATGCACCATTTTTACGAATTTTTTCGCGCTATTATACTATTTTTAATAGGGATACTCCATAATTTAAGGGTAATTATAAAAGAAAATGAATAATAGTATTCTAAATCAATATCGGGTATAAGTACAAGTTCTCTACTTTTTAATAAAAAGATTAGCTCTATCGAATTCAAACGCCTTGTAGGACGATTTCGATGATTTTATTTCTTTAATTGCAGGCTTTTCGTACTGGACATTATCGTCAAGGTCCTGTTTTGGCTCCTGATACTCTCCTTCGTGGTGTCCTGGTGCACGCCACTGAAGGCAATCTTCTCCTTCGGCGGACCCGTGATCAAACCTCTACCATTCTTAGGCGCTGCTGTCTTCGATGGCAATGATATTTAAAAATTATACACATTTATTTTTGACAATAAAGGTCAGGTTGTAGAAATTGTTTACTCGGCCACCATAACATAAATACAAGTGTCGATACACCGTAAAATAATAAAAAAAATATACGCACTATTGTTAATGTCTAAAATATATTTAAAGTCATCTTAATGTTTTTATAGTCATGATATTGTTTTCACAAATTATTCATATGAACAATTTTTTGTACATGATTGTTTGTACAAATAATAGCTGAACTATAGCTAGAGAAAATGTAACTACAACCTCACCCTGAGTTATTTCAATTAAAAAGTAGTAATGCACTTTGGTGACCAAAACATCGGTAGCCTTACATTAGCTTATATTAGCTCTCTGAAATAAGAAGAAATACTCATTAAAATAGTGATTTTACTTCATGTAAGACCAGTTTGAGTAGCTCGGTGGCGTAGTGGATAAGCGCCGCGGCCCGCGATCGTAGTCGTTAAGCAACTTTCGCTAGGGTCGGTCACGGGATGGGTGACCAAAAAATTATTATCTCGAGCTACTCCGTGCTTCGGAAGGCACGTTAAGCCGTTGGTCCCGGCTGCATTAGCAGTCGTTAATACCCTCCCATCCGCATTGGGCCAGCGTGGAGGGTCATGACCCATCCTCCTTAACCATCCATAAGGAAGGCCTGAACCCCTGCAGTGGAGACGTAAAAGGGCTGGTGGTGGAAGACCAGTTTATTGAAATCATCTTCAATCAATTTGCACTAGATATCAGCATTAAAATAAATCGAAACGTCTAATAAAATAACTACATATTTTTATTGACAAACGCAAATGAAATATCTGTTTTAAAATTTACACGATATACGGTCAGTTGCACAAACGTCCATTAAGGTTTAACGACTCCTTAAAGCTCTAATAAAATAATTACATATTTTAATTGACAAACGCAAATGAAATATCTGTTTTAAAATTTACACGATATAAGTGGACTATATCCTCCGCCTTGTTTTAAATTTATATTTTTAATTACCGTGGAGCAGTAGCACAAATTATCCTATGAAGCTTTGGGCATTAATTCCGTTGTTAACGTAATAATCGCGTATCAATAAATTCCATTTTGCAATTTTATTATCTAAAATCATTAGTGCAATGGGTTCTTTACAAATTAAAGTGACAAATATGTTTGTTATTATGTGATCTTGTAAGAAAATTCCCAAGAAGATTTGTATTTGGATTTGTGATGATTTTCTGAAGATATCTTGATTATACGTACATATCTGTGTATGTAAAATGGTTTTGGAATGATACCTGAACGAGTGGTTCATCGTTTTCCAAACTTTCAATCCTGATCACAGAAATATAGATTTTATTTATTGTTATTACAGCATTTACGTAGCTTCAGTTCCGATACGGATTCACATCCTAAATCTCGTAATATGACGAACTCGAGAACATTTTTTACATCCAAACATCTCGGGAGAGCCCATACAATAGTTCACGCAAATGTGACATTTGGAAGTAAAATACTTTTGTCGGCGGAGTAATTTTCATTGTTCCTATCCTCACTTGTTCAAATCTCGTTACCATTAAATTGTTACCATTTTGATAGAATATAGAACGAAAACGAACCAATAATGTTGATTATAAAATATACTTAGTTTTAATGACTGATTTATTCGCATTTTTTTATATATGTTATTTTAGATTTGTTTATTAAAAACGTGTCCATTATATTTTTTACATAATTACTCTTTATCGATAAATATTGGGCAAATATTAAAGATTGTTTACTTAATTTATTCGTTTTATTTTAAAACTAAAACAACACCCTATGAAAAAGTAAATATTTGCCCAGCATAATCTTTTAGTAAATTTAAGATGTAATCAATAAATTAATGGGTCAGTTTTAATAATTATTTTGTGGAAGTGTCATAGCTATATCATTGTTTCATAATCTAACACTGAGATACCTTGCAAGAATTTGTATCAATATCCTCAGTACAGAATCATATAAACTAACTTTGTTTGTTCGGGGTAATCTTTGGAAAAACTGATTCTTCTTTTCAGTCGTAACACTCTTGCCAGAGTATTTGTTGTCAACACGCAGTATCTGCTGAAGTTGCCGATACCTCATGACATCTCGCCATCTCTCCCTGCCAATAGACATCTTTGAGCACCGTATGTAGAGGCGACTTTATTTACTACTACGATCATGAATATTCTTCTATATTTTAATTTTATATTTTGGTGGGTGCGTGTTGACGGCGCCAACTATCGGTTACAATTATGTCGGACTTTGAAATGGCAAATGCCTGACTACCAGTACGAATAGAGAGTAACCAAACAATAATTTTAATGAAACATCTTAATTTACTTAGATTCTAATCGATCATGTAAAATATAATAAAAAAAGATCCTTTATTATCGACACATAATAATGCGAGTCTAAAAAGCAGCAATCAGAAAATTTCTGTTAGTACACACGGATTTTCTCATTGCTAACTTTACGAGCAATAAGTAAAAAAAAAGAATTGATTCGAACAACGCATTTCAGATAGATTGCAGACATGACTAAAGTGTTGTTTACAACGCAGACTTTTCGTGTAATCGCTTTCCAACCATAAAAGTAATCATATTAGTCGCTAGTATAAATTACAAGGACTAGCGTACGTACATACAATCCACGATAGGCATGATAATATTTACAATTATGTAAAACCCATATTGATCAAATCATATTTGTTCGTTTGCAATGAATATGCTGTCTGTACGCAGAGAACTTTTAAACTGCACAACGGAGTTTAATCGATATACAGAGTGATAGAAGAGAAAAGTTTATAAATGTGTCATACAAGCCCACGCGTGCGAAGCCGCTAGCGGCTACCATACTATTAAAATATTTTAATATTCAGGAATTTTTATAGGTGCACCAATTTTTCAATGCTTTAGAATAGTTATAATCCCCGCTTTGCGAATGCTTCTGGCGGCCATTTTGGTAATGTAATTAAACAAGCAATATGTTTGTTCTTAATAATTTTAAGTTTTTTTATCTATTTAAAGTTTGTTTATTTGTCAACTTTATACTTTCCCGCTTTCCTTATTACTCCACAAAATGCATTGAAACATATCGCTCATTTGCGACAAGAACGTGTTAACGCAAATATGTATAGTTATTGAATAATAATACAGTAGAATTCGGCGCATCGCGCTCTACTTGCTGCTAAAACGCGATATTTCTAGCGCCGAAAATGACCGAGTAATGAAGGAAAAGGATGGCGACTATCGGTTTAGCGCTATCACTTTCCGCTCCTAAGTTCAATGCAAGATCGGTTCATGTCAGTTGTCGCCGCTCGCTTGAGGAGGAAAGTGCTGCCTGGTTGCGGCAAAAATGTAACAGCTCATGGTGTCACGGTTTTGTTGAAATGGTAACTACAGCTTTTTGTTTTTTTGGTGATTTATTTTTGCAGCTATAACGGGACATTTGTATGTGGCTCATTATTGTAGTAAAAATAGTAATCGCATGCTATGGTTTACAAAGGATTGCACCGTTGTTGCTGAAATAAACAATTATTTTTGTTGGTTAATTTGAGATGTTCTGTTACAGTTGATAATAAAAGTACAAAATGTTCGGTACTAATGTTGGTTATCTCAAATTAACACGTTCTTGATAAAAAATAATACATTTCTACAACGAATAGCTTACAATGTTGCATTATAAATGATAAAAATATTGAAAATTTATTTACTGAAATTCCAGTCTTAATTACACAATCTTTGAATTCCTCTTCCACTGTCACTGAATCTATTTTAAAGGCAAGTTTAAATAATTATAATAGCCAATTTCACTTTCAACACATTGATTTTAACGATATAATAAAATCTTTTAATCAGCTAAAGAAAAGAAAACCGCTGATTTATGGGATAATTCCATTGAAGTTTCTAAATCGGTAATTGAGACAATAGCTCCAATCCTAGCTTATATATTAAATGAATGTACTGATTGTGGTATTTTTCCTGAGCTCATGAAATATAGCAAAATTATTCCTTTACATAAATCGAGTAGCACATCTGACCCAACTAACTTTAGAGCTATATCCGTGCTACCTACATTTAGTAAGATTTTTGAAAAAATCATGCTGGATAAAATACAAACATACTTTTACATGAATAAGCATATGAATCGACTACAATTTGGTTTTACAATACAAGGGGTCGCTCAACAACCGAAGCCGATGTCGAGTTAATACTAGAAATTTTTAATGCCTGGGAGGATTCACATGATGCCTTAGGTGTTTTCTGTGACCTGCATTTCATTATGTTTTTTATGAAACATTGATAAGTAAACTTCATTTTTATGCATTTAGAGATAACTCATTGGATTTTATTATCTCGTACTTGACTGACAGAGTACAGAGGGTTGATACCAATGGCAAAAGATCCCCTGGGTCGAAAGTTAAGATGGGTGTTCCGCAGAGCTCAATACTTGGTCCTTTCTTGTTTTTGATTTATATAAATGACTTGCCTTATTTCGTAAGGGATGATCACGAAATAGTTTTCTTTGCGGATGACACTTCACTTTTGTTTCAAATTAAAAGAGGGTTACCTCTAAATGACGATGTGAACAATTCTATCGCTAAAGTAGTACATTGGTTTAATGTAAATAATCTTCTTCTTAATGAAGGAAAAACAAAATGCCTAATATTTGTACTACCTAATGTTAAAAAAGTAGATATAAATTGTGGATACCACGGTATTTTTAGGAATAAAATTCGATTTTAAACTACAGTGGGGCCCATATATTGATAAATTGTCGAGTAGACTTAGCTCTGCAGCATATGTCGTAATGAAAATACGTAGGTTAACTGACATAGATACTGCCAGATTAGTATACTTCAGTTACTTTCATAGTGTAATGTCGTACGGAATCCTATTGTGAGGAAGTGCTGCCGACATACAAACAATTTTTGTTCTTCAGAAAAGATCAATTAGATCAATTTATAATCTTAGGATTAGGGACTCTTTAAGGGAGAAATTTAAGGAAATAGACATTATGACTGTTGCTTCTCAATACATATACGAGAACTTAAAGTACGTTCGTAAAAATATTTGTTTGTCTTCTATAAAAAGTGATGTACACAATTTTAATACAAGAAATAAAAATAAATTAACGGTGCCTGTCACTAGACTGCAAAAAGTTAATAACTCATTGAAGGGTCTTTGTGTGCGCTTCTACAATAAGGTCCCAAGTAAAATACAACAATTAGATATCATGCAGTTTAAATCTACTATAGAAAAAATACTTATTAAAAAAGGTTATTATAAAGTATCCGATTATATAACAGATAAGAACGCTTGGACTTGAGGTGATCCAGCAACTGGATAGGTGATTACTTCGTAACTCATTATCTTGTTTTCATTATTATTAAATGATTATGTTATCATTATAAGACCATAGTTTTTTTTCTATCTCTGTTTATAATGTATTGATCTGGTAATGACATGGTTTTTGTAAATGTCATTACTCTTATTAGAGCTGGTTTCTTGCTCGTTCTTCTTATCAGCCAAAACATCCTGAACGAGTGGTAGGGAAAAAATGTTGGACGATTCAAAAGTATTTTTAAGAAGTCTATTTGAATAAAGATTATTTTGACTTTGACTTTGATTATTACTTGTATTTCAGCGAAAGTTACACAATAACTTCGCTAAAATATCTCTCATTTTGTAAAACAGAATACAAAAATAAAGAGATTTCTACGACAGTAACATGTCTTTATTAAAATGTTCCATGCCTTTATATTAGAGATTATCAATAAAAACGTAACAATACGACATAACTTGTAAAGGTTTAGATTTTAATCCATTTTTTTTTTTCATGAAAATCGGTACATATCTGTTTGTTCTGCAATACTGGATTATTTTTACAAGAATAACGCAACAAGGAGGACCCTTTTTTAAATAAATAATCATAATAAATTTAATAACTAACTTAAAGGTCTGAATGCAATTTGATCCAAAAACCGAAAACCTTGAAGTTATGTTGTATTGAGCTGAACAGGCTTAACAAAATAATTAAAAAGTTACAGGAATTTGAAACTTTCAAAAGCGTTTTATCACAAATTGAGATTTTTACTTTGTCACGTTCTTGTCGCAAATGAGCGATATTGTCAAAAGTGTCATTTGGATCTTGGATCAATTGGCCTTCAAACATTGTTAAAATAAATATTTATCAACTCGCATTGCCCAAATGTTCTAGAAAAGGGTTATGTTTAACACATAAGTCGCAATGCAGAAAAACTTAATAAACTTTAAATGAATATGAATTAAAACAACAATTAGTTACCTAATAATAATTATCTTAATAACCTTATTCCTCATTTTATTTCATACACAAACGATACAGTAATTGAAATGCTATGGTTGGTTTTAGGTAATTTAATAATAAAAACAATTTATGTTGTGGCAATTTATTTAAAGACTTTTTAAATAATTTGGTAATAAAAAGCAATACTAATGCTCTTATTTACTATTCTAACGACAGCATTTTTTTTATAAAAAAAAATAAATAAATTGTATGTTTGTAAACAATGAGTCGTAATTCACATTCAATGACTAGGTACATGCTTTAATGTATAAACCCAGTAAATATCTATAATCAAAAACAATTCCAAAATAACAGCAGATTAACATACATAATCATACAACTTTCGACCACTGTTATACATATGCAACAGCTTAATAAATAACACTACACAACATTCTTATTTTTCATAAATTTTAAACTTACTTCATAATTAAATATTTAAAAGACAACTTGCACAGCATCTACTGACAACTGCTCAAATAGACATCAAATTGTATAATATTGATATTCTAACTGAATGCATTACTGGGTTGCGTTTACAATGTCAACGAATTCAGGCTTCAAGCTAGCACCGCCAACTAGAAAGCCATCAATATCAGGGCGAGCAGCTAGTTCCTTAGCAGTAGCCCCTGTGACAGAACCACCATACTGGATGCGAACATTAGCTGCAACTTCAGGAGATACATTTGTAGACAACCAGTTACGAAGTGAAGCGTGTACATCTTGAGCCTAGAAACAAAAGCAATGTCAAAACTGGCTAAATTCATTAATCTCTCAAATTTCATTATAATGATATTATCAACTGTGCAATATTTTTTAGAATATTCAAATAAATTTAAGTAAATATGTATTATATTGTTTCCTTTATTAATATTTTCACTCTTAATTCTATAAAAATGTAAATACAGGTAGTTGGTAATGATATAATCAAATATATTAAAAGACATCTTTCCATTTCCATTATAATATTCTTTACCTGTTGAGGCGTAGCAGTCTTGCCAGTGCCTATAGCCCAAACTGGTTCATAAGCTAGTACAACTTTATCCCAGTTACTGCCAATAGCAGGTACAAGAGCTTTAGTTTGCCTGAACACAACTTCTTCAGTTTTGCCAGCCTCCCTCTCTTCAAGTGTTTCACCAATGCAAGCAATCACTTTCAAACCTGACTCCAGGGCATGAGCAACCTGGAAAGGTAATTTTTCATTGTTTGAATTCATAAAAAAACACTGAAAACAATCAGATCTCTGTGATAAACCTATATTTATAACCTTTTCTGCAACAAGATCATCTTTTTCACCAAAGATTGTCCTCCTCTCAGAGTGCCCCAAAATTACCCAATCGGCACCAACATCTTTGATCATTGCTGGTGAAATCTCACCTAAAAGAAAAATTACAGTTACCAATTACTTTTAAGATATCATTTTTTTGTCTTTGCATCACATAACCAATAAAGAATTTTAGATATCTTAATAATATATAGTCTAAATACCTGTGAAAGCACCCTTTGGCACTTTCCAGCAATTCTGAGCAGCAACACCAATGGTGTCTGGCACTATGCTCTTGACATAAGCCAAATAGATGGCTGGTACACCAATGACAACCTATTGAAGATGAGAGATAAGTATATTAATATCAAAGTATAAATTAACAGTTACAGATATTGTTGTAGAGTTGTACTAATACTACTAGTTTTAATAAATAGAATTTTGACTTTGTCCGCCAACTCGATTTATCATTCATTATATAGACTACCATTCAAGAAAATATATTCTATACTAAGAAGACAGATTTAATTATTCATCTATTTGTTAGCAGTGAATTTTGTGCCTTAGAAACTATCTCCTGATCCCTAGAGTGGAACTATTTGATGAAATTACTGGGAAGTAATTTCATCAAATAGTTCCACTCTAGGACTACTATTGTGATTTTTGACTTCCAGTAGTTCCATGGAACTGTTAATGCTGTTTATGCAAAACAAAAGTCCCATTTAATCCATTGCATTCACAAACAAACGATTTTAAAAATTCAGATTTTTAACATTACATCATTTGTGTGTGGTAATTCCTATAATTTATAGCTAGTGCTATATATTTATAATTTACCTCTACATTTGGGTCCAAGGGTCCTTTCTTCAAATTGTTTACAATTTCATTGATTTGATTTTTATCTCCATTCATCTTCCAGTTACCACCAACAACAAACTTACGACCCATCTTTGGTATTATCTAATATAATCAGGCTTCAATTGTTCAAGTGGTTCTTCAACTGCCAAAAAGTTTCAACAGTGATATATGAATAGGTGACTGTAACCTTATAGTTTATATATTTTAGGTAAAGCACTAGTGCAGTATGTTATATAAAGAGGTTTTTAATCTCATAAATAAATAAAATATTATAATATACGGCGACCACGGGGAATTGGTCTTCCGATGTAGCCCACAAGCATCTACAGAGATATATTGATTTGTTAAAGTAGGCATCACGATTGAAAGTAACCTATTTTTAGAATAACAAGATTATTGATTTGATCAGAATGTTAAAATATCTTTTACGCCTCATTAAAACATACCTATTACATGTCAATTAATTTATGATATCAATTATTTGCCTCAAGGGCAAGCCGGTCAAAGATACTAGGAATAGTAAAAATAACAAAACGACAATTTACATACACCATCTTAGAAAAACATCCAAAACAAAAAATAGTCTTACTTCTTTTTAGCAGGAAATTGGTGGAATACAGTATTATTTAAAAAAATCAAATACAGGTAATTCCTTCTTCCAAACGGGACAGTTCCTAGTGTTTTAATTCTCTTTGGTTCGTTAGAACATCGGATACAAATCTACTCGTGAGTTCTCTTTTTCGATTTTTTAAGTTTAAGCAATCGTAAGAATATTCTGATAGGCTAAAATACAAAATCATAATTACATAGAAATTCGTCAACCAATCGTTAGCGAGAGCCGTTTTATTATATACCGCTTATTTGTAGAAAACACACTGTTTTGGAATGACCTCTTTGACATTGAACCATAAAGAAAATATACGCGTTCACCGCTTTCAATCATCGATCACGATCATGGAATTAGTACTTTATTACAGGACAGAGTACTCCCAGCTGAAAAGCGAGTCGAGCGAGATATCAAGTAAGCACCCTTAATCCCTTTCTAATAAAAGCAACAATAATAAAAATATCGAGTATGTTATTTCACAACACTATTGTAGCATAATGACCTTACCAGGAGTAATAGTCCACTAGCTACCTCCTATGCTTATTATTACAATTTTGTTCTTTCCTCCTAGTACACACTCACACATACATTGAGAGTGAGAAAAAATATACCTACTTAAACATGTTACATTTGCACAGTAGATAACCTCCTAGGGTCGAAAATAAATAGGAATAAATTATTGGCAAAATGGTATCCGACGCCATTCAGCTGGTAAGTCTACCTTTAATAAAATTTTAATAACACATATTATTTATCAACGCGCACATCATTTTATAATAAGTCATATCGTTACCGAGGCCTAACTCGGAAATGAGGAATTGAATATTTTCGCAATTAGAATAAGATATAAGATATTAGAATAAGACCTATGCGCTAACAAAATGCACCATTCCCTCCGGTACATGTGATTATAGGTAAGATTCAATTAAACACTCATTTACTAAGATAACTTTCCGTTCATACTTTATTGAGCTAAGGTCCAACAAAATTACTTTGCAGATAGATATAACATTAATAAAAACTGATAATGAGCAATATAACGCACGAGTTTTTTTTTATTAGGCGTATTTAAAAAGAAGTACATAATATTTAAAAATGAGAATGTATTTAAAAAATACATTAGTTCCCGAAATCAAACTAGATGTCGCTACAGTACGTTCTTGGTTTCTCCATGACAACCCTTCCGGTTTTCTTTCATGTTCAAAAGTAAATAAGTTTTCAAAACTCAATAAACAACTCAGATTCTATTAGTAGTTTTTAGTATTTGTATTGATATCTAAGTTTCGAACTTTTCAAATTTAATTTTTTTAATATGTTAATTAAAAGGAACGGAAATAACTATCTTTGGTCCATTCGTTTCCTACAAAAAACAACTTTTGACGTACGAGAAATGGTACGGTACCACGTTACGAGATTCACATTTTCTGTACGAGATACAAGAATAACAAAATTCTCGTACACTTTTGAACGAGATTTTAACAATGACAAGTCCTCAATCAATTATCAATGATAAAATACTGCACACCCCAGATAGCGATTAAAACTTGTTTCTGACTTGCAACAAGTTTGATACATCAAAAAAGAAGACTTGCTTCAAGTTTGCCATGACAACTGCAGCAACTTGCAGCAAGTTTAAATCAAACTTTCTAGTTTCAGTGTGACAAAGTTGCACTACCTTTGACGTATCAAAGGTAGGTAGTGACTCTAGTACCTGGAATACAGGTTTCGAGGCAAATATTACTTTAATTAAGTTTACTAAGCTTTTTACTAATCTTTTGGTCATTCAAAACCTTTGGTCTAAAAGCGATTGCGAATTTAAACAAGGTCAAGCGACAGCACAGAGCCTAGCCTAAGAGCCAAAGTAATTAACTGGAACGGTTGCTTTCGAATCCCATATTAAGATCAAATTAAACGGCATATTACTTATACAATCTAACAATATAAACTGATACCGCGATGCATTAAATGAACAGCGCCTTCTAGTTTGCAGACTTAAAACTATTCGGGCACCTATGAAGATGATGGGTGTGTTACAAGTAAGTATATTTGTCATAACAATATTTAAACAATATTGTCGCAAACTTAAAACTTCCTATTTAACATAACAATATTGCAGCAACATTGTCACAAACCTCGTATATTTGACGCAACAATTTAGATTCAAAGAAAAATCAAAACTTGCCCCAAGTTAGCATGCTATCTGGGACACCACAAAACGATCGACTGGGCGCATCACGAAATGCACAACCACATTATTACTATACGAAACAAGACAACTTGAGCGGGGAATTCCCGTTTAATGTATTTTATATATGTTTTTGTCCTTATTAGACTAGTGTTTGCTTTATTTATCTGTCTCTCTTACTAAGAATGAAACATTGGAGTACATTTTTATCGTCTGCTGTTCTTTTTTGTAATCACTAATCAGTTTAAGTTTCTCTATTAAGTAATCACTTTTACTTACCAAATGAGTAGTGACAGCGAATCGTCGGCCAATCCTCCTAAAAAGATACCCAAAAAGGGAGGATGGACTGCAAAGAAAAAAAGGTGAGACAATTTTTGAACACCAAATGCAGACATTTCGGGATGAATGGTTACAGAATCCAACATTTAGAGACTGGTTGGAACCAGACCCAAAAGATCCAAATTACCTTAAGATATTTTTACGGATTCAAAACTAGACCAAGAACTTAAGCGCACAAAAATTATAGCAGTAGTAAAAAATACAATTGGAGAAGGTCAAAAAGCAGACTTAGCGAAGAAATTGAAGACCACAAGGTTTTCAGCGCTTACTGATGAAATTACTGACTTATCAACTATTAAAACGCCATGTGTGGTGGTTCACTATTTTGACAATGATGCTCAGAAAATCTACAGCGTGTTGTGGGAACTATATAAAATTTTCAAGGAGACAGACACCGATGACGTGCCTACAATTAATGCAGAAAATATATACAGAGCGCTAATAGATTCATTTCAAAATCATAACATCCCACTCATAAATATGATTGGGTTTGGATCCGATGGGTGCAATGTTATGATGGGCGAAAGAGACTCAGTCAAAACTCGATTATTGAGAGATTTACCAGGGACCATATTTCAAAATTTCGAGAAATTCCTGAATCTGTGTAACAGCTTGCCCGTGACGTCTATAACTTTTTCAAAAACAGTTATAAGAGACAGTTTGCTTTCCGGAATTTCCAAACATTTGTTGAAGTTGACCCCCATAAAATATTGAAACCTGTGATTAAAACCATCCCAAACAAGATGGCTCTCGCTGACTGCAGTAGTTTCAAGAATCCGAGAGCAATGGGAAGCGCTGCGCTTATTAATTATTGACTTTACGACCAACCCAACTCATAAAGTAAAAGCTGAGATAAAAAAATTGAGCAATCTCAATTTTAGAACAACTGTGCGATCCCTTCCACAAACTATAATTCTGTTTCATGGAATAGTCATTGCCTTTATTCACGAAGTTTAATCTAGAATTCCAAAGTGAAAAAGTGATTATTTACATGTTGCACAAATGTTAAAACACCCTGACCTAGACAGGCAACCTCAAAAGAAAGCAATGTTCTTCACAAGCTGCAAGAATTTTCTCAGGACTGGCGCGTTAGAAATATAAAAGATACAACATGGAAGACCCCGTCCTATCCAAACTCCAGGATTTGAGACCAGTACTAGCTCTCTCCAACGATTTTAAAGAACGCGTCCCAACATTGATGCCCCATTGAACATTGATGTTTGATGACACTCAAAAACAGCAGATAAATGATCAGTGGAGCAGATTATCGATTGCTAAAGCTCGCCATCCTGCAAAGCTTAAAGATTCCACAGAGCCTGATGAGTTTTGGGCAATATTGATCAAAACAGAAGGTTTTTCGAATTAGCCAGCTTTGCCCTTGCAGTTTGTCTCTGCCCCATGCAAATGCAGACTGTGAACGGATTTTTAGAAAGACAAATTTGATAAACGGCATTGAGAAACCGCCTCATCACAGAAACTGTTAATGGCACACTTACACCACACACCACCAGCTCTTTTACGTCCCCACTGCAGGGGCTCAGGCCTTCCTTATGGATGGTTAAGGAGGATGGGCCATGACCCTCCACGCTGGCCCAATGCGGATTGGAGGGTATTAACGACTGCAAATGCAGCCGGGACCAACGGCTTAACGTGCCTTCCGAAGCACGGAGTAGCTCGAGATAATAATTTTTTGGTCACCCATCCCGTGACCGACCCTAGCGAAAGTTGCTTAACGACTACGATCGCGGGCCGCGGCGTTTATCCACTACGCCACCGAGCTACTCTTGCTAATGGCACACTTAGCAGCCGAAATTGCTGGCTTTTAGGCATAGGGATAGCTTGCGCCTTCGTCCTTACGCAGACAAACGAGCCGACCGATGGCCCGGCGGGCGGTTTCTTTCGGCCGTTAGGTACTTTGTAATGAAATTAATCTACTGCTAGGCTCCAAAACTTTAAAATTATCTACTTGGTCAATAATTTAAAAGTTTTTTTTTTTAATATTAAGATTCCTGGTGAAGATGGGATACCATACTCATTTTTTGTAAATTTAAGTAATATAGCTCTTTCTTACTATTTAGACTTTGATAGTAAAATTCTAGTTACTGGTGTGGTTC